TTTTTTTTTTCAACGTTTTTATTTATTTATGGGACAGACAGAGACAGAGCATGAACGGGGGAGGGGCAGAGAGAGAGGGAGACGCAGAATCGGAAACAGGCTCCAGGCTCCGAGCCACCAGCCCAGAGCCTGACGCGGGGCTCGAACTCACGGACCGCGAGATCGTGACCTGGCTGAAGTCGGACGCTTAACCGACTGCGCCACCCAGGCGCCCCTCAAGTTATAATTTAAATAACGTGCAAATATAGTCTAGTTTGGAAGAGGAAATTTCAAACGTGCACCTCTCTAGCAAAGTCAAAAACTAAGGAGCTTGTAAACTTTTCTCTTTTCGTTCCATAGAGCCTTTAGCAAAGACTTAATCTTCTTAGGGTTCTTTTTGAACTGTTGTTAGGGTCAAGTCCTTAACCAGTAAAGCAAGTCTATGTTGTTAGCTGCTAGAATCAGCAACATTTTTGAAGGACAGATCCACATTTTTTTAGGGATTCTAGTCCTGTCCTGACATGGTAGGCTGAACTTGCTACGAGGGCGCATGGCAAAGAGTTATAAATTAATTGTGTGATCCAGGAAGTCCTTAGGAAGACCATGCCTAGCCCTTGTTTCCACTGGTTGGCTGTAACCATAGCAACCCCTTACTCCAGACCAAAGTTCAGGTGCTGTAAATCTTTATGGCCATGTTCATAGTCCAATGGTCCTCGGTATATTCCTTCCTATGAAGAGCAAGCTTTCATATTTTATAAGAAGCATTCGACTCCATTTCTAAATACTGGACTCCAAGTGGGTCCAAAAATATTATCAAAAGACCTTTGATATTTTTTTTAACCTTAGGACCCCTACTTTCCTGAGAAGATGCCTACGAAGAAGAAAACACTGATGTTTTTATCCAGCTTCTTTACAAGCTTCGGGTCATTCATCGTAGTCTGCTCCATGCTCGGGACTCAAGAATGGGTCAGCAGTCAAATTGCCATCAGTGACTCGTCTTCAAACGGTAGTCTTGTCATCACCTATGGACTTTTTCAAGGCAAGAGTCACCAAGAATTCAGTCATGGACTTGAGGAATCACAAAAAGGCTTTGAAGGTAAATGACAAATGAATCTGAATGGGATGCAGGGAGACTGTGTTAGCTGGGTAAGACCCAAGTCATCCTCCTTATGGGCCAAAGGACTGTTCAAAAATGATCTCCTTGTAAGTGTTGAGATGGCTCATAGGTATGAAAATGTATCTTTAATTTTGAAACTTCGCCACATTCTTGTTTTAGCTTCCTCAGTCCTGGTTGTGTCTATGAGCACCGTGGTCCACATAATTCTGGCAGAGGCGATGTTTAAGTGATATTACCAAGTCTACTGACAAGTAACTAATTAATTAAATATATGTAGCAGGAATATGGTATCCAAATAGGAGGGTAATAGGAAAAGTATGCGTATGGATGGTGGTATTTTATTTTTTTATTTATTTATTTTTTTTTTAAATTTTTTTTCAACGTTTATTTATTTTTGGGACAGAGAGAGACAGAGCATGAACGGGGGAGGGGCAGAGAGAGAGGGAGACACAGAATCGGAAACAGGCTCCAGGCTCCGAGCCATCAGCCCAGAGCCCGACGCGGGGCTCGAACCCACGGACCGCGAGATCGTGACCTGGCTGAAGTCGGACGCCCGACCGACTGCGCCACCCAGGCACCCCTGGATGGTGGTATTTTAGATGGGGTAACAGTCCCTGTCCAGAACTTCGTTGGTGGCAAGGGAAAACTAAAGTGGAAAATGTGATCAGGTTCTCCTTCTTAGATCTCCAGTTCATTTCTTTAATCTACTCGAATTTGAATTTTTACCTCCAAAACATCTCATTTTTGTCGGACCTGGTACTAAATTTCTGTTAATTCTATTCATTGCATGTTTTGTAGGAATGCCCCATTTTTTTTTTTCTGATTTCTTATATAATAATGCTCTCCTCTCTTGATGGGTGGAACACAAAAATTCACTGAGAATGCTAAGTTGAATTTAGCTACCTATTTGACTTTTGAAGATTGAACATATACCACTACATTTTCAAAAATTAAGAGCGGTCTTTGTAACTTATTCAGCACCTTGACCTTGCATTAAACAGTGTTGCATACAGGTAGCCAGGCATTATCAGCCCGATACAGTCATTACCTCTTGACTTGTAAATGGTTTTCTATCTCGTACAAATGTAATATTTAGTTTGAGTTGGAGCCTTAGACTCAAGCCTTTAGTTTGAGTTTGAGCAACGTGGTTGTATTTCCAAGTTATAGAATTTGTCTTTTAAGACATTAGCAAAAGCAACGTCTCCTCCAGCCTGTCGGTAATGCCACCTCCCTCCCCGACCCCCCCTCCAGCCCTGACCTCAGCTTCTCAGGGAAAGGAGGAATATTCCCTTTGCGGCACCCAGAAGCTAAGACTTTCCAAGATTCAGTCACACATTCAGGATGTGAATAGCATTTTCAAAACCAGAATGTGTCATAGTTCCTGAATCTCCAGACACATTTAACATTTTTTAAAATATGTGATAGCAGCCTGCGAATTTTTTGATTTTCATGCTGTGTCTGTTTGGAATCAGTCGGCTCCAATTTGAGAGACGTGGCTTCAGGGAGAGCCCTGCTTCCCTGTGTCAGGGAACCTCAGAGGCCACAAGGGTAGGTCCCAGCCTGGCTCTGCAGCCCCGTGTGAGGGAAGTGGGCACCATGGAGTGGAGAGGGCAGGGGTGGGCGTAGGCTGGGACAATCCTGAAGGCTCAGGGCCCACATTTGCCTTTGCTTTGCCTGGCTCTCTGCTTTTACTCTGTTACTGCAGAGCCGCGTTCCAATGTCGTGAAGTCACTGCCAGCCTCTAGGTACTGTAGAAGATAAACCACGTCCTGATCAGTGAAGGTACACAGTTCAGCTGCTCCAGCTCATGTCTGCTAAGGGCTCCCCAGAGCCTATGGGGGCTTCCTTGCTGATGGTTTTTTTACAACCCTTGAACTTGGAGTACTCAACAGTTCTCCAAGATAGGGAAACGTCATGTAACTAGGACGTATATCATGGTGTTCAGCCGCTGCAGACCCAGGGATGTTTTCCCTGGAGAGCAGAATTGGAGACTGAGGAAGGCGTGCTGCTCTGCTGGTTTCTCATGACCACCTGGGGCTCATCTCAAATCAGCAACCAATCATCGGCGGTATAATAGTATCTGTGTAGATGCCACTTCCTTCCCCAGCAGTGAAGGGCTAACCTTTCCATTTAATAAGATGTCAACCATGCCAGCTTCTTGGCCTGAAGATCTCCAAAGAATAGTTACTATTGCCAAGCTCTGCTACATTTCTGCATGGGATTGAACATACCGTGCCGACGGGGGCTGTAGATTTGGAAATGACAGCACAGCATAAAGGGACAATGGCTGATATCCACACGCCGGAAGAATCCAGCCACCAGTATGTCAACTGGTGGGGGAAATATTCAGCCGAACCTGGAAAGCAAACTCTCCAATGTGTCGCTAGATTATTTGGGCAGCTCAGCCTGACCGGGACATGTCCTAGCTTCTTCTAGTGGTCTCCAGGTTTGTTCAATATCCAGATGAAGAGTCACAGGCCCTGTGTCTACCAGTAAGCACCTGGCTTTTGCTACTCCAAAAGTTCTGGATAGTGAATGTCAGTCCAAAACACTTCCCTGAGCGGCTGCTTCATGAGGGAGGGGCGGGGATATGAGAGGCGTGGCACATGGCTGCTGGCCTTGGTCAACTCACCATAGCTTCTATCTAGAGAAAGGCCCCCATCAGTTAACTCAGGTGGTGCAGGTTGCTATGAGAGCAAGGGAGAATTTCACCCAGTCTGCAATCTTCCCCCCCACCCCCCCCAAAAAAACCACCACCAACAAACAAACAAACAAACAAACAAACAAACTGGCCCACCAGTCTCTTTTCTCCACCTACCCAGTTTGTTCTCAGGGGACCCAAAATTGCACTATTGGCCCAAGCTACCAATAAATAGAAAAAGTAAATCTGTTGCAAAAATCAACGAATTGCAAGGAGATGAACAAAAGAGGCTTATTTCTTCCTTAATACTCCTACTCGCCTACCCCACCCCATATACACCTATGCTTTTCCAAGGACGAGCAACTTGTTACTCGTCCCCAGAGACATGACCACGCTGGGTGATGGAGCATAAGGGTGGAAAATGCACTCTCCCTCCTTCTCTCCCCAAGAGAACCCAGATACATTTCCCAGAGGCTCGGCATGCCAGCTGGGACTTTTTGGAAGATCTCAAAGGCCCAGCCTGTTAGGGGTACGTTGTGGTCCACGGGCTGCGGGGTCCACCAGGCCAGGCTCCCTGATGACCAGGTGTTTGAGGAGCAGGTGGTGGCAGTTCCCACCCACCCACAAAGCCACTGGCTCTCCCCTGAGTTCTGAGGACTTCTGGAAAACCAGAGCTAGAAGAACCAGATGGCTAGTGGGTCCCGAAGGGTTAAATCTCCATGCACAGAAAGCCCGGATGTCCAGATGACCCATTTCTGCACACTGCCCACGGCCCCCGGCACATTTCTGCCTCCCAGCTGTGGGGGCCATGGCCTCTTTCCTGAGGTTGCCAGAATCTGGGCAATTAGTTCCAATTGTGAGGTGGTTTTCCTGATTCCAACGCTTGGCCCTGAAAAGGAAGAGAAAAGAACGGAATGTATTTGCTAATTTTGTAGGCAGGGAGCAGCTGTCAGATGCTATGGGGGTTTATTCTATTTCGTTCTTGCTAACTTTCCCCAAATTTCCAGCTTCCATTGTCTGAGTTCTGAGCAAGGAGGAGGCTGGGAGATATAGCTGTCATACCTGTGTGGCAGGATATTCGGAGGCTGAACTAGAATTTTAAAATACGGCAGTTAAAATTAAGATAAATTGCTACATCAATACAAAGAAAAGTCTGAGTCAGTAGGCTCCAAATTGATTCCCTTTTGAAAAATCATGTCTGTTAGATCTTACCAAGAGTCTAAAACAAAGCCTAACCTGACTGTCACTTTGTAGTTTACTCTGAACAAGAGGAATGTTCACCATTTGCAAACGTACATCCATTTACAGCATTTAATAAGTGTATAAAGCAGAAATATTCTCCAGGGCACTTCAGAGATGGCATTTTCCCCACACTGAAATGTCTTATTTTCTAGTTAAGTATCCAAATTATTTCTTATTGGCTAAACACCGAGTTTGTTTGGTCCCCAGCACATTTCTGATTAGACCTTCGAGCTTCCTCCTTGGTGTCCAGGGAGGAGCAATGCTTCCTCGCGGTGACGGCTGGAGACTCTCCAGACCCCGCACCGCTGAATACGTGTGTCCTTCCTCCCGTTTTTGTCCTACTCCTGCTCTGGTGTCGTCATCCACCAGTTCCAAAGCAAGTGTGTGCCACCCGAGAGCAATGAAAATCTCAGCTTGAGCTCAGGGCCTTCAGAACAGCCCGACCCCAGTGGCTGCCCTGGAGGGTGTGTGGTGCTCGGAGGGCAGGTGGCCATCGGACCCTGGCCGTCCCCACCCAGGCAATCGGCGGTGGCGGGAAGGACCACATTTTTAGTTTAACCTATGTCATTAGATTTCTTACCTGGGATGCGTCACACAGAGAGCGGTGCTAAGGACTTGGCCCTGCCCGTGGGTCATTAGCAGAAGTCCAGGTACCGCTGGGCACAAGGGGACTGGCCGTGTGGGAGGTGAACTTTGCTCTCAGGCCCGCCTCTCACCGAGGAGCAAAATGTTCTCCAGCCAAGGGTGGTGACGTCATCGTGTCCATGTCGCTGGGCTGGGAACCCCCCTCTTCTGCCCTTTGTGCTCCCCCACAGGGCTCCCAGAGCTGCACGGGGCAGTATCCAAGCCTCTGCTCTTGTTTTCACCAGTTTGGTTTCTGCAGCCTCTCGCTGTCCACTGTCCAGTGACAGGAAGTCTGTCTCCCTCCTAGAGGACGGCTGATTAACAGCCACAAATCTGAATTCACAATGTAGATGTTCGGACCCCGGGAGAGCTGTGCCCTCTGGCCAGCATGTTTTGAAGCTTGGAGTCAGAGTAAAGTGTGTACAGAGCTGGGGTCAGGCTGGCAGGAGCTTTGGAATCATGCCTGACAAAGAACATTCCGGAGACGTGGGCTGTCAATCACACTGGGGTTTCGATCTCTCTTCAAATACCTGAAAGGCTGCCAGGCAGAGCGGAGCAAGGGGTTTCTGTGTTGCTCCAGAGGAAGCATCAGGACTCTGGGCAGAAGTCCTGGAGATATGCATCTGGGCACAGCACGATGAAGAGATTTCGAATAATGGAGGCGACACAGTGATGAGAAGGAGACACCTTGCAAAGAGAGGGCCCCTTGCTGCTAGGACGCTCCTCCCTGGTGCACACAAGGCCCTGGGGCTCCTGTTCTTTGAAGCATTGGGACCAAAGACAGAGACAAGGGGCCCCCGAGCCCTGGGACAAGGGATCTTTCCTGGCCCTTCTGGTTTCTGTTCTTTAAAGCTGCTCTGTGCTGAGGCTGTGAGTGGCTCTCTGCTCTATCCCAGGGGCCTGAGAAACAGGAAGGGAAAGAAGAAGGCTTTTACTTTCTCTTACCAGCCCCCTAGTCACGGTTCTTACATCTGGCAACTCCCAAGGATTTTGTTAGCGTGTTACTAGGAGCTCGGAAATCTTTTTCCCCGATTATTTTTTCTGTACGTCGCCGTGGCTTTCACAGAACATCTTGGTAAACACTTTAGTCGATGTGGTGGCAGTTACCGGGGCCCCAAAACGCACCGGTAGCCTTTGGAGACGTTCTGTAAGTGCCTGGCTGGGGTTACAGGTAAGTGTGGGGACACATGCCTCCGGTCACCGGTCGTTTGGTGTCGTAAACAGAGGAGCGAGCAGAGGAAGCAGGGACACGGGGAGGGTGGCTGGTTGCGGTTAGAAACAGCAGGATGGCAAAAGCAGGAACTGATGGCCAGGGGCCCAGGGCATCTGTGTTTCGGATACGAGTGCGTATTCATGTCTGGAGCCCCTCTGCACGTAAGAGATACGCGCGTTTTATAAAATGCTGTCAGGACCCAGAGGAATTCAGCTCGGAGAGAATTCTGATGGTTCACCCAAGGCCCATCCTCCGCATGCATTCGAGCCACGTGGGCCCTGGGTCCTCTCCGGCTCCGGGGAAGTGAAGTCGGGAAGTGTGGAGACACCTCACTTGTCCACACAGCAGTCATCTGCCCGTCTCCAGGGCCAGCTACCTGGTCACCATCAGCTCCTCTCCTCCTGGCCTTCTCTGTAACGGGCCAACCTCCGAAATCTCAGCCTCTATCAGATCCTCTCTGTCACAGGTTTTCAGAGTGGCCTCCTGTAAGTTCCCCCAAGTGGAAGCATCGTAGTGCTCCGAGCGAGGGGGACACTGTCCGTGATGATGTGGAAATGCCCATGGCAGGCGTCTGAGGCCAGAACGCACTGAGGAGGGCCGTCCAGCCCTGTAGCAGCTCTATCGAGGAGGGCACCCTCTTTCCTCTGGGAAATTGAAATTGGGACGGTCCTGTGGTTACACACATTCGAGGGGGGCCTGAGCATCGTGAGGCCACGCCCCTCCCTGCTCTGGCACACCGAGATGCCCCCTGCAGCTCCCAACCCCGGTGCCCAAGCGGATGGAGTCCAAGAGCCACCCGGGTGGCGGGGAGCGGCCCTCCCGTCTGTAGGGCTGGGGTTTGCATTTTGCGCTCCGTGCTGACCCAACGCTGCTTTAGTTCTAGAGAAGTTGAACAATTCTTCCCGAAGAACGCTGCACCTGGTGGCCGTCCTGCTGCTGGTGCTCAGCCTGTGCACGTCGCTGCTGAGTTCCGGGTTCACCTTCTACAACAGCATCAGCAACCCCTACCAGACGTTCCTGGGGCCCGTGGGCGTGTACACCTGGAGTGGCCTTGCTGGTGAGTGTCGTCGGGAGCACCCGGTGCTCAGCTGGGAAGCACGTCCTCGGCGTCTCTGCGTCTCTGAATCTGGCACACACAGGAGCCCATGTGGCCACCGCCGGGCTGTAGAAACTGAGGAGACCTAGTAGGTGCCAAGCTGCGTGCTGCGGCCTGGGCTCTCCTTCTGCCCATCTGCAGCGTTGTTAAGCATCCTGGGAAATAAAATGGTTTTAAATGCACCGGTGAGAGGCAAGGGGCCAGATGGGGGCAGGGTGTGACGTGTTAAAATGCGTAACAGATGCCAGTCTCTGCTCTCGAGTGTAGAACGTAAGGAGTTAAACATGATGCTTCTAAGTCCACAAAACATTCATCTGTCACAACAAAACTCCTGTAGCGTGTTTAACTCCAAGTGGGGTTCCGTGTAAGGTATAGAGGTGCACACACACACACACACACACACACGCTCCTACATACACAGGTGACAAACACACATACATACACAAGTGTGCACACGCATGCACATACCTACATGGATATGCACACACATGCACACATACACAGTTGTGTGCACACACACATACACAGGTGCGCGCGCACACACACATACATACATCGGTGTGCACACACGCATATATAGGTGTGCACACACACAAATGTATACACATATATGCACACAAGCACATACTTCTACATGCATACATGTGCACGTATGATCACACACATACACCCATGTGCATGCATGCACACCCACACATATGCACACATCTAAACACATACACACAGATGTGCACACACACAGAAGTGCATGCATGCATACACAGATGCACATACACAAACATGTACACATGCACACACGTACACACAGTCACACACACACACACACACTTATTTACTCTCCTTCTCACCTCCAAGTAACAACAGTCAATGTGGGCTAGAACCCAAACATGACACCTCTGTATGGCTGTGCCACAGAGAACCGCAAAGAAGGTCGTTTAGAGGATCTGGGGCCAACACCCTTCTTGCGGGTGATGTGTGAGCCCCGGTTGATTCTGTGCAGTGTGACTGGCTTATTTTACTTGTTTATTGGTCCAGGCTGGGGTGGGGGGGTGCAGCGCAGATGGGAAGTGCATCCCAGCTTGAGTCACAGCGTGTGTGGCTCTTGCTGGGTTTTCGCCAGGCTCTGCAGCTGCCGTAAATGCCCAAAGGCCTGCTCAGTGGGGGGCCTCGTTGCCCTCGCCAGGTGGCCAGGCTTCTTCTGCTTTCTCTCTCTCTCCACCATGAAAACCTGATCTCGAGAAAGGATCTGAAGAAGGCTGTCCTCCCCTTGGGAGGACTCTGGACGTGGTTTCATCTAAGTTCTAGGTAGCGCATTTTAACCCCGGGCCTGGAACTTTCCAGCACAGGAAAGGTGGTCTGGTATCAGGAAGCCTCAAGGAGGACTCGGGGCTGCTTCCTTCCGTCCTTCTGTGAGAGGCCATCCTTGCACAGGCCGGATTCAGGTGGTGGGAAGAGGTCCCCGGGTCTCTGAGCTGTGGCTCTCAGCAGTGGTGTGCTGGAGAAGAACAGGGCTCTTGGGGGGCAGGGGGGGTGGGAAAGGATGCCCTGGCTGGAGCCCAGGCAGCTCCAAGTGGTAAGGACACTTCCGCCTTCTTCATGCTAATAGTTGAGGGGCCAGCCCCAGACAGCATGAAACAGGGGAAATCCATGCAGCTCGACACTCACAAATGGGATGCTCTTAAGAGTGCCATTCATAATCGGCAAGCCAGGCCAGAGGCGGGAACCAGGAACGCCTGTACCACACTGCATACCCACCCCTCGGCTCTGAGGATTGGGGTTGGGCTGCTTTAGCCACATTCATGCATGACTTGCCCTTTCCTTTCTTCCTGTGGTTGTATTACCTGGTGGTAAAAACAAGCCAACCCCCCGAGTTAAAGGGCATCCGCCATGGGCCAGGCCCCACAGCGCTGTGGAATGAGTGTTCCTGCATCAGCTTTCCCCAAGAGTCATGCTAAGGGACTCGCTTACAAACTCAGATATCCTCACCCAAAGGCCAGGCTTCCTTTCCCCAAGCTCTTTCTACCAGTACAACTCACCTCGGTCAAACCAAAGGCAGGGCTCATTGGCACTCTTTGCCAGGGTAAAAAAAAAAAAAGGATTCTTTTAATTTTTGCTCAGGTAATTAAGAAACTAAAAAAGGTGGTGGCTTCAGGTACAGCTGGATTCTGGGTTTCGACCCACGCCCTCAGAACAGATGCCTTGCAGGTTGCTTCTCTCTTGATTTTCCCAGTGTTCTCTCTGGTGTTAAGCAGCAGACAGGTCCCCTTAAAGTCAGGATGTTGGCCAACAACCCCAGAAGAAAGGACTTCTTTTCCCCCAAATCTGACTCTCCCTGGAATTGTCCTTCCCCGGCCCCGGAACAACCTCCATGGAGTTGAACTCATTGGCTGACTCAGCCAACGGCTGGGATGCCTGACCCCTTGGAGCGGGGGCTGGGGGCGTCTTCAAGAGGGAAATAAGGACCTAGTGCCAGAAGATTGGATAGGGGGTCGTAGGGACAAAATGGGACGATGTCGCCACTCTACAGCCTGCAGGCCTCAAAGCCCATTGCCTCATAGACCCTGTTTCTGCAAAGCTGGAGCTTTAGGCTCTGTCTCCACAGTTGAGTATGCACTGGCTCTTTACATGACGGAGGCCGATGCATGTTTGCGGAAGAAAACAAGAAAAACACCAGGCCGGCGGCCTTCCCCTCAACCCCTCCATCCCCACCTACTTGTAACAACAAAGCTTTGTCTGACGGGGAGAGAGTTGTGTGGCGTTCTTTTCCCGGCTTGGGGCAAGTTCGAACACACAGAAGAGTCTGCGGGGGAGGCAGGAAAACAGTCTGAGATGATATCCGTGTGTCAGGAGAAGGTCTGCATTCTGGCAGAGGTCACAGGGAGAGCTTTGTGGCGTTGGGCTTTGTGTCTGGCCTCCTCTGAACGCCTCCCATGACTTCTTGATCCCAGAGCTCTGAGAAGCCAGGCTTTTGCCCCGGGTTTGCCTCTGGGGACTCCCGATCGTCTTCACACAGGCTTGGGCTGTGCGGAAGGTAGTGAAAACTCCTTTTCCGTGAGTCTCCGCCTGCAGTCACCTCCCAGGCTCCTGTGTCCCCTGACCCCAGCCTGCCCTTAGCACCACACCGGCCCGGCATGGCCCAGCCCTGACCATAGTGGGTATAACCATAGGAGAATGTTGGAGCCTGAGAGAACTCTCCAGATTGTCTTCCCCCACACATTTGATCCTCAGCCAAGGAACCCAGAGAGCAGAAAGTGATGTGACAGGTCCCACGGCCTGAGGGTGACAGGCCAGGACTGGCGACAATGTCCTGAGCCTTCGGGAGATCCCCCTTCTACCTCGGGGCTCCCTTTATCCCTCTGTGAATCCCCTGTCCCCGAAGGCTGGAGAGGAGACAAGGAGAGTCATCTCCTTCATACAGGGGCTCACGTCAGCACCTGTCTGCAACAGCCCCTCCCAGTTCAAACCAAAGCCAGCACGTTCCATCGAATGAAAACGTGTGTTAACCCTGTGTTCACCCCGCCCCTTTGTGACTAAGTTTTCATAAGAACCTTCACAAGAGCGCAATGAAGGCTAATTGGAGTGTGAGACGCGCAGAGCATCAGAGGAGAGGGCTCTCAGATGCACAAATTATTGAGAAGTGAAACCGTCACACTGAAGATGAAGGTCTGCCATCGGGGAGAGTCAGAGCACTCTTCTCACACAAAAGCCCGCAGGCCTTTGGAGGCTTGGGGAAAGTCCCCGGGTGTGGGCTGCAGCCAGGACACGTTGACCACTCCCCCCAAGTCTGTCGAGTGTTGGGTAAATGCTCCCAGAGATGTGCAAACGCCACCTCCGTCGGCCTTGGAACATTGCATCAGTTCAGAGAGAACCCCGTGCCCTTTGGCCGTCACCCCCTCCCCACTCCCAGCCCAGCCCTAGTTCAACCAACCATGAATCTGAATCTTCTCTTTGCCTCTAGCTGACCCCCTCTGCAAGGCTAGGAAAGAGGTCCAGGGAAGTGCACAAGTCACCCGGGGCCAGGAGGCCAGAGCCCTGGAATCCAGTTCTCTCTGACTCCAGGACTCTGTTCTCCATGGCCAAGGTGGCTGTCCAGAATCGATACCAAGGCACATTCTCCAGGGGAGGACGTTATGAAGAATAAAAAAGGGACGATAAGACAACCAAAACTTCTAAAATGAGTTTATGGGGTGCCTGGGTGGCTCAGATCGGCTAAGCGCCTGACTCTTGCTTTCGGCTCAGGTCATTATCTCACGGTTTTGTGAATTCGAGCCCCACTTCGGGCTCCAAGCTGACAGTGCGGAACCCGCTTTGGATTCTCTGTCTCCTCCTCTCTCTGCCCTTCCCCGACTTGCACTCCCTCTGTCTCTTTCAAAATAAATAAATAAACTTTAAACAGAATAAAAATAAAATAAAATGAGTTTAGTGAGAAGACCCTTCCCAGTTAATCGCCACACTCCATTGTGTGCAGAATGAAAGTCTAGCCTCTGAGCCAGTGTCTGGGGCTCCCTGCGGTGATCTCCTCCTCTGTATTCAGTGCTCAGGACCCTCGGAGCGGCTCCCCATCAGTGGGGTCCTCTCTCACAGTCCCAGCTGCTCTGAGCTCACTGTCCCCGGGTGGGTTTGTGTAGGCTGTGTCTTCTGCTTGCAATGCTGTGTCTTCCCAGCTTCTTTGAATCCTTGTCAACTATCCAGACCTCTCTAGAAAGCTTCCTGCTGACTCTCCTGTCTACTCATTCCCCAGTTCATTCAGCACAGCTCTGTGTGCACTGGGAGGGGCCATGTGACGCGCCCTCAGCGTAGCAGACCCTTCGGGATGGGCTTGAGCTGCGTGTTTGCCCTTGGCCGGACGCTGCCTGCACCATCTTTAGCGTCTCGCGCCTAGGATCTAGCTCGTCTCTTACGTTTCTTTTACACCCTAACACCTAGAAGACCGTAACCTAGCCATCCCATAAATGCCCACAGAGCACATGTTCCACTAAGAAAGAAAGTGACGTGTTACATCTAAGTGATGAATCACTCAATTCTGCTCCTGAAACCATTATCACACTGTATGGTGACTAACATGGATTTAAATTTTAAAAAAAGAAAAGAAAGGAAGGAAGCGACAGGAGAAAAATGCATCACAACACTTCATATTGTTCACGAACCTGAATCTTCTTTCCAGCGTTGTTCGTTTTCCTGACCATGATACTGTTCGTGGCCAACACACAATCCAATCATCTCTCGGAAGAGCTGGCCCAGATGCTGTACCCACTGTATCCAACAACCACCTACAGAGGAACGACCCACAGCTACGGTTACTCGTTTTGGCTCACGCTCCTCGTCATTCTTCTAAGTGTTGTCACCGTGGTCATCATCGTTTTCTACCAGAAGGCCAGGCACCAGCGGAAACAGGAGCAGAGAAAGCCAATGGAATACGCTCCCAGAGATGGAATTTTATTCTGAACTCTATGTTATGTTGTCTCGTCATTATGTCTAGTCTGTTGTACGTCAGCCCCCGAGAGGTTACTGGCTAGCTTGTCTGGACAATCCGCATGGTTAAGGGCAGCCCTGGTTGGCTGTCACTTTGTGATAGTTTTGTATCTCGTGACGCTTCTTAAATGATGTACGCTTGACCAGCTTTCTTCCCCCTAGGGTGGGGAAGATGAAAGGGAAATGTCTGCAGGCCATGCAGCGTTCAAAGCAGTAGAATGATTCCAAGACCATGGATCCTTTCAGCCGGGTCTCACTCCCTAAGATAATAAAGGTTTGTGGTACGCACCTTTACTTTAAGTAGCTCAAAGCACTTTAGCACCTAGGATCTCCTCCTCAGGAGGGACCAGGTATTTTTTATTCCACTGTATGAACAAACACTTTCAGGTACAGAGGGATTCAGAACTCATCTTTCCAGGACCAGGTGTTGGAGGCAAAAGGTGGGTGAGACTTTGGGGTAAATTCCCTGGTCCCCAGGGCCCCTAGTTGTTGACAAAATTCAAAACCAGTGGTGGGTAGGAGTATTGATATATGACCTTCAAACCCATTTTTGAGGTGGCAGGGTGCAGTTTTTATATGGAAAAGACTAGGAAGTGAGAAGATTAAGAAAGACAAAAATTATAGCCCTGCAGCCTTCACACTAGGGAAGCTAAATGTATTTTTGGTTTAGAAGGATTGCGGTGAATTAGTCAAAACGAAAATGTCACATTGCAACAAGTTCTGGTAACCGACCCTTTGCTGTTGACACAGTCTGGTTGCCCGGATGGGAGTGTGTCAGCCCCAGCAGAATCCGGCCCAGCCAGAGGCCAATGAATGGCTTAGAGCACCGTGGCTTGCTGGCATTCCCCGAGCCGAGGCCAGGGCAGACGCAGAACACAGATGCTGGTTTGCCCTCTAGAACAGGTGGATAGAATCGATTCACAGTCTCATGAGAACACAACAGGCAACTAGGAAATTTTTGGAGAGCTCCCAAATGGATTAGACCTACTTTGCCAGTACGATATTCTTCCAGAAAATCCCTTTGAGGATGTTTTGAGCTTGAATATCCCACTAGTCAGTCAGAGTGAACACGGACAGGATTCTGAAATAACTCTGTCATGTCTTGACGTAAGCAAAGCCAAACAGAGCAGAAGTCTCTCGGTGTAGTTTACAAAATGTCGTGTCTTTGGACGGAAAGATACATCCTTTATGAAGCTATTAGGGATTTGTGACCTTCTTGTCTACTATTTTTTCACAATCTGTCTTAGAAATAATATTTTTTCATTCAAGAAACATGAATTGAATACCTGTGATGTGATCAGTCCTGTGCCAACCCGGATACCTGCCCCCCACGGAGCTTAGTGTTGAGAAGTCAAGACAGACATTGCAAAAGCAGGTGTTACATTCCACGTAAAACAGGTACTTAGTCACAAAACTGTGCTCATTCTCTGAAAAGTCAGTTCTCTATAACCACCCACCCCGAAGTCAAGGTTACTCCAATAAATTAACTTGTGCAACTTTGAGCGCATTAAAAATATGATTCTTAACAGTGAAAATGTTCTAAATTCTTTGAAGCTAAAAACATTTATGTTCTTTGAAGGTTTAATTTTATACCAGAGTGTGATAATGCAGGCAAGTCATGGAAGAGAAAACAGATAAGGGTAACAAATCCATGCAAATGGGTTGCTAACTAGGCAGGCACCCCCACCATGTGCTGGTGCAAAGGACATTATAGGATATAAAGACTGCATTTATTTATCTCAGCGTTTGAGCAGAGCCTGGTTTCGCTAGGGGACAAAGTATCTCAATCCTTAAATCACAGATGACCTATGAGGAACCATTCAAAACAGGAATCTATACAGGGAACTAGCTTGCACAATTCTGGAGATAAAGAGCATGGCTCTCCCACTATGTCTGAGGTAGAAGGTAATGAAACTGTGTGTGTGTTCTTTAGAAATCTTCTTAAGGAAGGGGGCGCCTGGGTGGCGCAGTCGGTTAAGGTCGATCAGCCAGGCTCACGATCCTGTGTCCCATGAGTTCGAGCCAGGCCAATGGTTTCCTGGCCTGATGGCCTAGGAGCCTGGAGCCTGTCTCCCTCTCATTCCAGTGTCTCCCTCTCTGCCCCTCCCCGTCATGCTCTGTCTCTCCTGTCCCAAAAATAAAAAGTCTGAAAAAAAATTAAAAAAAAAAAAAAAAAAATCTTCTTAAGGAAGAACAGAGTTTGCAGACCACTCTTGGACATAGACGTAATTCACTGTTCTAAAATCACTTAACCTTGGGGTGCCTGGGTGGCTCAGTCGGTTGAGCGTCGACTTCGGCTCAGGTCATGATCTCACGTCGAGTTCGAAAGCCCCACGTCAGGGTTAGTGCTGACAGGCTGCCTGGAGCCTGCTTCGTTCTGATGTCTCCCTAGCTCTCTGACCCTCCCCTGTTCTGCTCTGTCTCTCTCTGTCTCAAAAATAAATAAACATTAAAAAAAATAAAATTAAATTAAAAAAATAGAATAAAATCACTTAACAAATGTGCATCACGTCTGTTGTAATGGACCCACAAGAAACACTATGGAGGGCTGAGCTATTCTACGGAATTGGAATGTTTCAGCGGTCGTGATACGAGCCCCTGATTAACATGTGTGGTCCTGTTAGGATGAGCTAGATGGCAAGGTTCGTCCACATTTGCAAAAATAAAAAAGTCATGCAGAATATTGTGCTCCTCCATTTTATAAGAACACAGGGTCCACGATGATAATTTTAGGGAAATTAATACTTTGCGCTAATGTCAAAGTGATGAGGCTCCCCTCCCCCTCCCCAGGGAGTTGTTTGCAAAGCACTCCGGGAGGCAGGGATAACCTCCAGGTAGGCTCTGCTATCATTATTTTAATTTTATTTGATCATCTCAACAAACCCTGTGGATCAGGCAGGGCAGGAAAAATGGTCTCCCTGGACGTGACACTTTTCAGGGTCCACAGCGTTCTTACAGCCAGCCCCACACGGCCACGCAACACCGGTGCTCCCATAAGTGACACGCAGCCGTGCGGGCAGACAGATCGGCAGCCTTCTCGGCCTCCAGGAGGTCCTGGGAGCCTGCAGATTCTGCAAAGGACAGGCAGGCACTGAGC